ACAGGAATGACCCCCTCTCTGCCTCCTCCTGCTGCTCCCTGAGAGCCTGGCCTTCCAGGCTGGCAGCTGAGGAGCTGGGGGGGCTGCAGGGGCTCTGTGGGGCAGGGACCGGGCTCCCTTCCCCATCTGCTGTAATGGCTGTTGCTGTTTCTGTGTCCGTGCTTTCTTCCAGGTCTCCCTGTTCCATCATCTGCTGCTCAGATCCCTGGATATCAACCTCAGCCTGGCTCAGGATCTCATTAGTGATGAGCTCGGCCATGTTCAGGAGGGTCTGGCTGCCCTCTGAGGGGCTCTGTGGGGCAGGGACTGGGCTCCCTTCCCCGTCTGCTGTAATTGCTGTTCCTGTTTCTGTGTCCGTGCTTTCTTCCAGGTCTCCCTGTTCCACCCGCTCGCGGCCGGATCCCTGGATCTTCAGCTTAGCCTTGCTGAGGAATTCACTGCTGCTGGACTGGTCTGTGTCCAGCAGGGCCTGGCTGCCCTCTGAGGGGCTCTGTGGGGCAGGCACCGGGCTCTGTGTCCCTGCTGATGGCACCAGCTCCCCAGAGGCTGCAGAACCTTCTGCCTTTGGCTCCTCAGGAGCCAGAGGCCCCTGGGGCTCCTCCTCCTCAGCAGCTCCGGCCGGGGCAGCAGCTGCCGGCTCGGCCTCCGTGGGAGTCAGCGGGGCAGGAGCTGGGCTGGGCAGCTCACGGGCTGCCTCTGCTGCCACCTGTGTGCCCACGCTGCTGGCAGAGCTGGGCCCCTCCTGGGCAACAGCCTGGGGGTTCTCCTGCTTCCCTGGGCCCAAGGCCTCCTCAGAGAGATTGGAGGGGATGTCCTCTTCCCACGGGGACAGCTCTGGCTCTCTGACCTCTTCCCCTTGCTCTGGGAATGATTTCCACTCCTCCTCCCCAGCCGAGGTCCCCTCCTCAGTCTCTTGCACAGACAGCAGTGACAGCACTGACCTCCCCTCTGTGTCCTCCTGCTGCTCACTGGCCACCAGGACTTCCAGGCTGGAAGCCAAGGGGCTGGCAGTGGAGCAGGGGCTGTGTGGGGCAGACACCAGGCTCTCTCTGCTTTCTTCTGCTGGAACTGTTTCCAAGACTGCAGCTGTGCTTTGTTCCAGGTCTCCTTGTTCCTCCAGCTCCTGGCTGGATCCCTGCATCTCAAGCTCAGCCTTCCTCAGGATGTCAGTGGTGATGAGCTCGGCCATGTCCAGCACGGCCTGGCTGCCCTCTGAGGGGCTCTGTGGGGCAGGGACCGGGCTCTCTGTCCCTGTTGGTGTTATTTGCATTTCTGCAGCCCTGGTTTGTTCCTGGTCTCCCTGTTCCATCAGCTCCTGGCTGGATCCCTGGATCACAGGCTCAGTCTTGCTCAGGATCTCAGTGGTGATGATCTCAGGTATGTCCAGGAATTCAGGAATGTCCAGGGTCTGGCTGCCCTCTGAGGGGCTCTGCAGAGCAGGGACCGGGCTCTCTGTCCCTCCTGCTGTTTCTTGCATTTCTGCATCTGGGCTTTCTTCTTGATCTCCCTGTTCCATCAGCTGCTGCTCAGATGCCTGGATCACAGGCTCAGTCTCATTCGGGATCTCAGTAGTAATGTCCTGCTCTGTGTCCAGCAGGGCCTGGCTGCCCTCTGAGGGGCTCTGTGGGGCAGGGATTGGGCTCTCTGTCCCTCCTGCTGTTTCTTGTGTTTCTGCAGCTGTGCTTTGTTCCAGGTCTCCCTGTTCCATCAGCTGCTGCTCAGATCCCAGGATCTCAAGCTCAGCCTTCCTCAGGATCTCAGTAATGATGAGCTTGGCCATGTCCAGCACAGCCTGGCTCCCCTCTGAGGGGCTCTGTGGGGCAAGGACAGGGCTCTCTGTCCCTGTTGGTGTTACTTGCATTTCTGCATCTGTGCTTTCTTTCTGGTCTCCTTGTTCCATCAGCTGCTCGTCAGATCCCTGGATCACAGGCTCAGTCTTGTTCAGGATCTCAGCAGTGATGAGCTCGGTTATGTCCAGCAGGGTCTGGCTGCCCTCTGAGGGGCTCTGTGGGGCAGGGACCGGGCTCTCTGTCCCTCCTGCTGTTTCTTGCATTTCTGCATCTGGGCTTTGTTCCACATCTCCTTGTTCCATCAGCTCCTGCTCAGATCCCTGGATATCAAGCTCTGTTTCGCTCAGGATCTCAGTGGTAATAAACTCAGGCATGTCAAGGAATTCGGGAATGTCCAGGGCCTGGCTGCTCTCTGAGGGGCTCTGTGGGGCAGGCACAGGGCTCTCTGTCTTTTCTGCTTCTTGCATTTCTGCATCTGGGCTTTGTTCCACATCTCCCTGTTCCTCCAGCTGCTGCTCAGATCCCTGGATCTCAACCTCAGCCTTGCTCGGGGTCTCAGTGGGGATTTGCTGCTCTGTGTCCAGTAGGGTCTGGCTGCCCTCTGAGGGGCTCTGTGGGGCAGGCACCGGGCTCTGTGTCCCTGTTGGTGTTTCTTGCATTTCTGCAGCTGTGCTTTGTTCCAGGTCTCCCTGTTTTTCCAGCTGCTGGTCAGATCCCTGGATATCAAGCTCAGCCTCGCTTAGGATCTCAGTGGGAATTTCCTGGTCTGTGTCCAGCAGGGACTGGCTGCCCTCTGAGGGGCTCTGTGGGGCAGGCACCGGGCTCTCTGTCTTTCCTGCTTCTTGTATTTGTGCAGCTGTGCTTTGTTCCACATCTCCCTGTTCCATCAGGTGCTGCTCAGATCCCTGGATCACAAGCTCAGCCTCGCTCAGGATCTCAGTGGGGATTTGCTGCTCTGTGTCCAGTAGGGTCTGGCTCCCCTCTGAGGGGCTCTGTGGGGCAGGCACCGGGCTCTGTGTCCCTGCTGATGGCACCAGCTCCCCAGAGGCTGCAGAACCTTCTGCCTTTGGCTCCTCAGGAGCCACAGGCCCCTGGGGCTCCTCCTCCTCAGCAGCTCCGGCCGGGGCAGCAGCTGCCGGCTCGGCCTCCGTGGGACTCAGCGGGGCAGGAGCTGGGCTGGGCAGCTCACGGGCTGCCTCTGCTGCCACCTGTGTGCCCACGCTGCTGGCAGAGCTGGGCCCCTCCTGGGGAACAGCCTGGGGGTCCTCAGCGCTCACCGGGCTCAAGGGTTTGTCCCAAATGCTGGAACCCACATCAGCTCCCCCC